GCATCGCTATGCGAAAGATAGATGGTAGTTTCGTAATTTTTACAAATAGAGGGCAAACGGGTTCATATGTGAACACGTGCAATTCGCATATGAATTATATGTTCATATGTGAATCACACAGATTCATATGTGAATCGGTTAATTAGTTCATATGTGAATCACACAGGTTCATAAGTGAATCAATTAAAATAGTTCATATGTGCATTGCACAGATTCATATATGAGCTCGTTTGCTGCCTATTTGAAAAACATACAAAACCACTCATTCTATTTTTACTGTAACTGCAAATTTTGACCGGTCAAAGCCGTAATTCTTGACCAGTCAAATTCGATCTTGATTGTATGAATGGCTAGGATCACTTCTTTACTTCTCAAATAATTGTATGTCATATGTAAATGTATTTTAATAGTCAACATGGGAAAACCCACGATAGGATGCGGTGGCACGAGCCATCACTTCGTTCCTCCGTCATAGTGTAAGGGGTTGTTTGGCAGTTGCTGAATGATTTGATACAAAATGATTAAGTGGTTATAACGATTAAGAGGTTTTTATAATATAATGCAAAATGAAATATAATTGTTTGGTAATTATTCATAATGAAATTAGGGCGTTGAATTTTTTAGAACCATTAATAGGCAAACCTTTTTATTTTATTTTTGCCAAACATTCACCTCTTATCGATTCAGATGTTGCCTCTTAATAGAACTATTTAGTCAAAAAGTAAAGAACTAACCAACATATCAATGATGATTTTATGAAAAATTATCCATATTTGTATTTCTTATAGTCAAATTGTGCCAACACTTAAAAAATTCTTAGGTCCGTCTCTGATAGCAAATAAGTTCATAAGACGTTTTTTGACATCTTAAAATTTTTTAGGGTACTTTTGATGAAAAGAAACGTCTCGTTAATTTTATATATAACATCTTTTTAGGTATCTTATAAAAACAAACGTCCTATAAAATGATGTTATCATAAGATATTCCTCAAAAATGTCATTTAAAAAAACTAATATAACCGACCTCAAACACTTCTAAAAACGCCAAAAAAACATTGAATAAATTTATTACAACGTCTTTATACAGAAAATTAAATTGTTTGGTTATATAACTTAAGTCCTATAAAACAGTCTATTAGTACATTAGACATATTTTTGCGTCATATGAACATGATTGTTTGTTTACTTTATGTATGTACGTATCTATGTGTGTGTGTGTGTGAATAATCATAGGACAACTAAAAAAAGAATTGTTAACCATAAGGGTGGTGTCTAATTGGTTTGAGCTTGGCTCCAAAGGTCAAAAGTACCAGGAGGTCCCAGTTTCAAATCCAAGGAGGAATAAAAATACCCTTGTGCCCACGGAGGTTCGAATGCGGTGACTCCGAACTATCTGTAAAGCAGGTGGTCGCCCTGAGATTAGTCGGCTCGCATAGCGGGTTGGATATCCAGGTTATTCAAAAAAAAATGTTATCGAAAGGTGACGTGAGAGGTTGCATATATTAAAACCACAGCCCGATTTTCCTGTCAACTACATTTTTAAAGACCGGGTATCATGGGACATAAATTATATCCAAACGATATAAATGATAGAGTGTTGATGACTAGATCGTTGACATAAATGATGATACTGTGATTATCAGTTATTATCACGTAGACAGTACGGGTTCCTAGATAGATTCATATTGATAAGAACCACATCATATGCATTTGGTCAAAATTATTGAATGTTGTTGCGTACTTTCGTCAAATTTAAATTTCAACATCTTATCATGTATTATTATTATATAGTTCACAAAATTACTGAACTGTTGATTAGTTTTGTTTTATTGACGACTGCTAAACACTTATGTGGACCACGTTAATCTTCTATAAGATAAGTTTTGTCTGGTTTCAAGTGTGTCTAGTAATATATTTGGGACATGTTAAACTTACAGGGTTTTTGGTTAGTAGTATCAATCAGTAATTAAAAATGGATTCATTTTTCAGAAGCCCAAATTTTCATTTCAAGTTAAACTGGGGGAAGTTCCAATTTTCATTCTCTGGTATTTTTATTTTCTTTCTCTTTCCTAAACCAAACTCCCACATGTAAATTGTAAAATAACACGGTTTCTGAACTTTTAAAAAATAGTAATGTTTGAAAGTTGACACTTGTTTTAAGACAAACTAAGGGGTCGTTTACCAAACACTTACCCAGTAAGTGCTTACCGGTAAAATTTAACACTATTATTTATTTATTTACCGGGTAAGATTTTAATCCATCAAAACGATATTGTATGCAATAATTCACCTGGTAAGCGCTTACCGTGGTAAGAGTCGTCGCCCTCACTTACCGGGTAAGACTCATGGTCCTTGTCTCGCTCTTACCGGGTAAGATTTTAAGTCCTTACCATATTCATCCGGTGAGGTAATGTGACTTAGTAAGCGCTTACCCGGGTAAATATTTGGTAAACATTGTAAGGTAGAGAGAAAGGGAACAAAAGGTAACTGTTTAACAATTATGCTCCATATTTTTTTGTAAGCGGTATATATAAAATAGACTGGGTCTTTTATCCCTAGGAAGTCTTCCTTCACTAGCAGGTTTTTTTCGGAAAACTCTCTTTATTCTGGTGTGGATAGCAGACAGGCGTATATTCTTGGGAATGATTATTTATAATGGGTAGTTACAATTCATTTTTTGTGTCGAATGGGCTCAATTTCGGTTTTTTGAATTTTAATTTCCGTCTTTGTTAGCCATGACTGTTCTGCATTTCGACTAATATCATGGGAGATAAACCTTGCAGTGATGCTGAACGGGTTTGAACAGATACATAATATGTTGAATTTGAAGATAACAACGACCGAGAAGAAAAAAATCTTTAAAAGAAAGCTATGGGTTACTCATGACGTGATTTGGATGAAACTGATTGAAAATGTCGTTTTTTAAAGATAAAGCATTAATTAGTGGTTATTTTGAACCCAAAAAGTGTTACGATAGATTTGTAGCATTTTTACAAGTCTTTTATGACGTTTTTAAATTAAGGTGTCGTATTAGTTATTTTATAAGACATTATTTGAAAAAGTGTCCTACAAAATTGGATTTATTGGATACTTTTCAAAATTGACATAGAAAATAATTAATACTATTTATTTTAAAAGCAAACTAGAAAAACTTGTTAAAAATGTCCAAAAACGTTCTACAAACTTTTTGTAACACTTTTAGATAGAACGATTTATAGTTTGATCCTAAAAACAAGTATTTTATTATAACACTTGGGAGTCGTTTACCAAGCGCTTACACGGGTAAGGCTTACCAAGTAGCATTATCTCACTGGATGAATATGGTAAGAACCAAGAAATCTTACCCGATAAGAGCGAGATAAGGACCAAGAATCTTACCCAGTAAGTGAGGGCGACAACTCTTACCACGATAAGCGCTTATCGGGTAAATTGTTGCATACAATATCGTTTTGGTGGACTAAAATCTTACCTGGTAAGTAAATAATAGTGTTAAATTTTACCGGTAAGCACTTACCAGGAAAGTGTTTGGTAAACGACCCCTTAGACAATTTAAGCGTCCTATAAAGCTAATTTTCTTGTAGTGAGTTGCAACGGGGTTACGGGACATGGGAAAAACGTCTTGTTAACATATCTATCTTGTCAGCGCCATGACGGCACGTTTTAAAACACCACCTATCTTTGAATCAAACGTAATTATATTATATTGTCGTAAATAAAAGAAATAAAAACTTCATTGTTACTGTTTAAAAAAAACTGTATAAACCCAAATCCTATAAAAAGTAAGTTGTTAATTTCCCGTTTTATACAATCTGTATACACTGGAACCTCCATTTTTAAAAACAATCTATACAGGTCGCACATATATTCTTATATTATACACAGTATATGTCGTATAAACATCTGATATAATTTATAACGAAAAATGATAATAGGAAAGGTTCGATTCTATAGGGGTGTTTGGGATTGCTTATTTGAAACAACTTATGTTTTTCTACAAAAGCACTTATCAATTTATTATAAGTCAGAAGGGTTTAACTTCTTCAAAAACTTCTTATTACCGGTTTGGCACCGGTATAATTTGTTTATCCAAACACTCAAAAATCTTTATTACTGGTAGGGGTGGCCAAAAATGACTCAACCCGAATCCAACCCAAAATTAGCAGGTCATTTAAATAAATGGGTCAACCTGTCTAACCCATTTAAATAAATGGGTTGGGTTGGGTTGAATTTTTCGACCTACTTTTAACATGTTTTCAATCTGTTTCAACTCATTTAAAATATTATATAATTTTATTTTATTTTTAATATTATATCTAGTATTCTAGTTTTTGATTTTGTTTTATTCTTAATAAAAAATCCTATCGTCGTGAGATGAAACTCCAAATTTCAATCGCCTCCATTACTCTTAATAATCATGAACCCTAAGAAAACTCTTTAGTCCGTTACTCCATTATTGTCTCCAAAGTCTAATCCAACTTTCGAGCTGGATATAATGGTTGTGTTTTATTCAAACTTTGAACAATTTGTTTGTATTTGTGGTTGTGTTTTATTCAAAAAAAATAGTATAGTCCTTTTTATTTAAAATTTTAAAAGTAAATGGGTCAACCCAAGTTCAACTCATTTATTTAACAGGTTGGGTTAAGAAAATCGTAAACATGTCAAACCGTTGTCAACCCATTAAGGTAACAGGTTGGGTTGGGTTGAAAAATCTCAATCCATTTAATTAAATGGGTTGGGTTGGGTTGAGATTTTCAACATGTTTAATAAATAAGTTAAACTCGAACCCAACCTGACCCATTGCCACCCTGGTGTCATACCGAAATAAGTCAATATGTCGAGTTAATACCTATAGAACCCAAGTTGATAAACAACAAAAGGTCGATGTCTCCCTCTTTATCAAACCCCAATTTTGCTCTCTCTCTCTCTCTCTCTACACTCTCTCTCTCTCCTCTCTCTCTCTCTCTCTCTCTCTATCTACAATGCTAAGGTATGTGTTTACCCCACTCCAGTTCATAACATAAAAAAGTGCCATTAAAAACCTCTAAAATGTGCCATTAATCCAATAAATTCAGCATCTTTATTGCAAATCTTCATGTGGGTGTCTCAAATTTCATGCCTTTTTTATGACCCTTTTTCAATCACTCTGTTTTTCTTGAATTTTTGCCTTCTGTTTCTTGATCTTTTTCAGGTAAAATGATGAGGGTGGAAGAGAAGAGATTGTATTCCATGTTTCCAAAAGCAGTAATCTTTTGATTTTTCCGGGAGTTCGAAGAACACGAATCGAAGTCGACGAGATTCGGTTCCTTAAAATCCTCAAGATTCACAATGCCAGTTCCTCTTGCTCCATATCCAACTCCTCCACCACCATTTACACCACCTGCAACTGGTATTTAAGCTTCAAATTCATATCCATTTCTGTAAGTTGTTTAAAGAAAAATCTGGTTTTTGAGGAGATTGAAGCAGTAAAAAGATGGAATCCTGCATAAAATTTGAACTTTGTTCTTGATGTGTTGACTATGCGAGCCGACTAATCCCAGGACGACCATCTGCTTTGCGGATAGGTCGGAGTCACCGCATTTGAACCTCCTCCCTGGCCACAAGGGGATTTTTATTCCTCATTGGATTTGAACTTGAGACCTCTTGGTGCTTTTGACCTTTGGAACCAAGCTCAAACCAATCAGGTACCAACTTGTGGTTTACAAGATCTTTTATGCTAAAAAAAATTGATCACTTTCAATAAAAACAGTATAATATACAATTATATGGTATACCCAGATGATTTTTTTAAGGTGATTGTTGTGTATAAGTGGATGGATTGGAGTCAACTTTTGATTTTGAAAAGTCAAAGTCAAACTCTGTTGTTTTCAAATTCAAAGTTTGCATCGGAATTTTCAGTTATTTTAGCTCAAAATGTTTTGATTCATTGAAAATATGTTATATAATCAATGAATTGTTTGTTCCGTTATCGGTAACTCGAAACCGGTGTTACCGATTTCGAAATTGAAAACCGGTTGTGTTGACTCTTAAAAGTCAGAGGTAGTAAACAGAGTGCTCTGTTTTTTCTTTGAATAGGTTCGGAAAGCCAACTAGTGTGTTCGGGATGTCGAAATCTTCTACTTTATCCGATCGGCGCAACCTCCGTTTGTTGTGCCGTTTGCAATTCGGTCACTGCCGTTCCTCCCCCTGGTATATGCAAATTCTTTGACGTCTTAGTATTTCTTTAACTCAGTAAATCTCACACAGAACGAGGGTCTGGGTTGCTATCTATTTCTTAGGTACCGAAATGGCACAATTGGTATGTGGAGGTTGCCACACTTTGCTCATGTACATTCGTGGAGCGGCAAGCGTACAATGTTCGTGTTGTCACACTATCAATTTGGCGTTAGAAGGTACCCACTCTTTCATTTGCCCTAATCAACATTCTCAGTATTCAGGGTCGTGATTAAAATCGCTAAAACTGTTGACTCCCATTGCAGGAAATCAAGTCGCACATGTCAATTGCGGAAGTTGTAGGATGCTACTGATGTACCCGTACGGTGCACGGTCTGTGAAATGTGCAGTTTGCCAATTCATCACCGCTATTGGGGTTAGTACATAGATTATCTTTCTTCTTTCATAACCACGTTTAAAGCAGTTTAAGTCACAAACTTAAACATATAATAAAACCAAAATCATACTAAAAAAGCAGACAAACTGTATCAAAAATGCTCTGTTTTGAGAAACGTATCATATATTTGATACGGAATATACCAACAATTTATTCCCCATTTACGTTTGCAACTTTCGTGTGGTAATATTAATGTTATTGTCAATGCAACCACTATCTATACTATATTATAAAGCATTTGACAAAAGCTTTTAAAAATCATTTTTTATATATGAAGTACTGTTTATTGATGCATATTATTTAAAATTCAAGATTACAAGTAAATAATGCATAAGTACAACTTATTAAAGCTCGATACTTGAATTCGTGTAACTAACTACAGATAAACACAATCAAATACTAGATAAACATTTCATTTTAAATATAAAAAATCTAAAATATAATTAGGATAATCATTGTCTTCTAACAAAATACTCAATTATTATCTTTATAAAAAATTATATCATTAAATCAAAAATAAATTACTTCCTTATTAAACTTAAATTAAATTACAATAAAAAAAAAGTTACAGTAAAGAAATTTCACAACAAAATAATAATTTTTAAACAGTTAATTTGATATTAAGATCGATATGTTTTTTTTTTTAAATTTTAAGATATCTTCAAATTTATATTTTATTCAAAAATAAAAACATTATCGTTTTTCTCAAAACCACATATAACCGTATTATAACATCGACATGGGACAAAATAAAACGAAACATTAAAATCGAGATGTATCTCGCTGCATTGCACAAGTATCCTTCTAGTATTAACAAACGAAATAAAGAACATTCGGTTTTATGCATGATTCACTGTACTTGGATGACTACAGGTTTCAGCAAGCAGTATGGAACAGAAGTTCATCGCGTAAACCTGATGGCAGCGTTTCTCCTTGCCTACGTCTATAGAGTTATAAATTTTCTCTTACACGAGATTATTATTACCACTGTTGTTATTGTCGTTAACTTTTTTTTCGAATAATAAGATTCAAGATTTTGTATATATACAAATATGTATTAATATGGTATCATAAATAAAATGGCAAGAAGTTGTTTGGGTAATTTTGTAATTTCATTTTTGTGAACAACAAAAGAAAATTTAACGACTAGATAAATAAAAGCAGTTATTACGTAAAATACTTTTTTCGTCTCAAAATAAATGTTCATAACGAAAAAGACGTATACTTACATAAACGGGTAATTGTCACTGTTTTTAATTAATAAAATGACGACCACCTGCTTTTGTAGGTAGTCGGAAGTCACCACATTTGAACCTCCGTGGCCAGAGGGTGATTTTTATTCCTTTTTGGATTTGAACCTGGGACCTACAGACACTTTTGACCTTATTTCACGACATTCTTGCGAATCTTTTCTTGAGCAATCTTTTGTGTCGACATTTGCATCCAACAGAATCCGTCTTACTTTTTCAAAAACCCTTGAAACTTACATCGTGAATATATGTGATGGTCCTTGAAATAGAGATAAAAGATGCGTCATCTTGAACTGATTCTACCACATACAATAGCTGAGTCAATTTTATAAAGGTATACGACAGATAAAATAAATATTAACTGTTATTTATATTTTAAAAAGGAAAAAACCAATTACTAAACTTGATTTTATTTTTTTTCATGGTTAATAAAATATATATTTGAATATTAAAAATATACATATATTATTCGAATTGAATGAAGTTGAGTCTTTAAATCTATACTATATTATAAAGCATTTGACAAAAACTCTTAAACACCATTTTTTATGCATGAAATACTGTTTATTGATGCATATTACTTAAAATTCTAGATTACAAGTAAATTGTATGTAGATACAACTTACTAAAGCTTCATGTTTGAATTAGTGTAACTAACTGCAGATAAATATAATCAAATAAAGATAAACATCTCATTTAAATATAAAAAATTAAAATATAATTAGGATAATTATTATGTTTATAAAAATTTATATTATTAAACCAAAAAATATGAATTAAAGAAATACACAAAAAAGAAGAAATTTTAAATAGTCATTTTGATACCAATATCAATATTTTTTTCAATTTATTATGATATATCTTCACATTTATATTTTATTTAAAAATAAAAATATTATCGTTTTTTCAAAATCACATAAAACTGTATTACAAGATCAACCAACACAAAAAACTAGAACAAAACATAAAAATTAAGCAATTTATGTAATCTGATTTTGAATGATTAAGTTCTTAAATTATTTTTTTGAATGATAAAATTCTTAAACTTTCTAAAACCGGTTAAATACATTCTTGTAGCCTATAAAAACAGGATAATGTGATAAAAATTTGGGAAAAGTTTTAAAAAACTCAACAAATTATCTGATTTTGAATGATTAAGGGGTTGTTTACCAAGCACTTACTGGTAAAATTCAACATTATCACTTATTTACTAGGTAAGATTTTAGTCCATCAAAACGGCATCGTATACAACTATTTACCCAGTAAGCGCTTACCGGGTATGACTCTTGATCCTTGTTTCGCTCTTACAGGGTAAGATTTTTTGTCTTTATCATATTCATCCGATAAGACAATGTGACTTAATAAACGTTTATCCAGGTAAACACTTCGTAAACGGCCCATAAGTCTTTATCCTTTTAATAAATAAATCTATAATTTTGTTTTTTAAATCATTTTACCAAAAAAATTCTTGAAATTTTTTTGGAAAAAAAATCCCAAACTTTTTTCCTAAATCACAAATAGATGCATACAAAAATATTTATACACAAAAAAATTAAGTGAACTTAATTTATGTTTTAAGCATAATTTTTATATGTTTTTTTTATTAACCTGGATATCCAACCCGCTATACGAGCCGACTAATCCCAGGACAACCACCTACTTTGCAGATAGCTCGGAGTCACCGCATTTGAACCTCCGTGGTCACAAGGGGATTTTTATTCCTCCTTGGATTTGAACTTGAAACCTCCGTGGCCACAAGAGGATTTTTATTCCTCCTTAGATTTGAACTTGGGACCTCCTGATACTTTTGACCTTTAGAATCAAGCTTAAAAAAATTATATGCTTTGGAATTAGTAATGGAAATGTCAAAAAATTTCTCTGTTAATTGGTTCATTTTACTTTCTTGTCAGTGAAAAAAATTGTATATATTTTTTGTTCAAAAAAGATCTGGATTTATTTGTTCAAAATAAAGTTCATTATTTTGTTTATTCAGAAGAAGTTTGACATTTATTTGTTGGAAAACAGATCAATGATTTATTTGGTAAAAAGATTTAGGGAAAAAAAATTAAGGATTTATTTGTTAAAAAAAATCAGGATTTGATCATTCAAAATCAGATAGTTTGTTAGGGTTTTTAGACTCTTTCAAATTTTTATCACATTAACATGTTTTTACAGGTTACAAGGATGTGTTTAATCGGTTTTTAGAAATTTGAACGGTTTTATCATTTAAAAAAAATAGGTTAAGGACTTAATCATTCAAAATCAGATAGTTTGTAGGGTTTTTTTAAACCTTTCCCCCTTTTTAAATAAACATCAGATTACTTAACTAAGAATGAACTTATTACCTCAGACCCATTAATTTCCATACCAGACCAAATTGAAAGAAACGAGAATTTTATTCCTAATTTTCTTCTCATGCATTCTCATTTCCGTTTTTATTCTCTCTCTTAAAATAACCAAACATCACCTAAATATAATTACGGGGGTGTTTGGGATGGCTTTTGGCTTATTTGAAACAACTTATGTTTTTCTACAAAAGCACTTATCAACTTATTATAAGTCAGAAGGGTTTAACTTCTTCAAAAACTTCTTATTACCGGTTTGGCACCGGTATAAGTTGTTTATCCAAACACTCAAAAGTGCTTATTACCGGTGCCACACCAGAACAAGTCAATAAGTTGTTTTTATAAGCAATATCGAACACCCCCTTACAATCATCTTGTTACAATCAATTATAAAATTATGGTTATTAAAGGTCTGTTTGGCTCATGCTGAGGAATGAAAATGAGAATGAAAATGGAAATGAATTTTCATTCCCTCCAGTTTAACTAGGAATGGAATTTTGGGCTTATGCAGGAATGAGCGTATTATATCATAGAAAAACCAGACAGTTTTTTTATTTTTTTATTTTTATTAATTACTGTTTAATACCTCTAACCAAATATTTGTAGTTTTGGGTTTGAAAACACAAAACAGCCCATCAAAGCTCAAAGGGTTGATGTTGGGAAAATAATATGGATTGAATAGTAGAATCTATAAAGTCGAAAATGACAAATCAGACAAGTATGGATAAGCATCCTGGAAAAGCTTAATCCAAGAATCATGTGAACTTTCCTTTTTTGGAATTAATTCATATTAAATCCCTCCTAATTTGTTTCAAAAAGAAGAAATAAAATGTTCAGAGCTTATTATTGTAATAGTCTCTTTGTTAGAGGTTTGATAAACTTATTGAAACTTGCAGCTTATTTGGTTAGTTATACATAAAAATGGCAAAATAACTCGAAACCGATGGTGAAAACCGAAAAAAGAAACTTCCGGATCGGGTTCGAGAACGTCTTAACGAAGACGGGGGCTGAGACGGTGATTACCGGCCCGATCCGACCCAATATGTGTGTGTATATATATATATAAACTTTAATTTATATACATACATACATATATATATATATATATGCATACATACACACACACATACATACATACATATATTTATATATAGAGAGATGAGCGTTCAAATAAAAACCGGCCTCATTTGTGTAAACCGTGTAAACCAATCTCATTCATCCGTTTTCTTGATCAATGGCCAAGATTAGTTTACTTTATTTTAAGAAATTAAAAAAATATATATATTAAAATTTTATTTTATTTCAACATTAAGGGCATAAATGGTAAACAAAATTTAATATTTGGTAACATCCTACCCGATCTTTCATGAATCTTTTTTCAAGCAAAATTATTTTCTTCCAAGATTAGTTTACTTTCATGAATTTTTTTTCATGCAAAATTATTTTCTTCCTTTCGCTTCTGGTTTGATGCATTAATTCCTTTAAGCCTTGCAATCTTAAAGATTCTAAAGCATATTACAATCTTCAAGATTCTTGAGTAGTTTCTTCATGTACCCGTTTCATCATGCAATTATTTCATGACGAACCAAATACATTATGCAACCGTTTCACTAGTCATGCTCAATAACGCCATGAACCAGTTTCACTTTCATGAAACATATTTCATGTACAGTAATTTTCTTATTTCACCATTGATTTGATGGATTCAATCTTTTAAGCCTTACAATCTTCAAGATTCTGGAGCAGGTTATAATCTTCAAGATTTTGTAGCAGATTAAAATCATTTCCTCGTTTCATCATGCACTTAGTTCATGACGCACCAAATACAAAATGCACCGGTTTTATTTTCCTCTTCACCAACTAAATGGATCAACTACACAATCAATGCAACGAGTTCATCATGAAAATGTTTCGGTTCACATAATTTATTTGCAACATGAACCAGTGTCACGTTCATGAAACCTGTTTCATTTGTGGATTTTTCTTTTGTTCATCTACGATTTGATGATTTCATTATACACTTCAATTGTTTCATCAAGACCCGTTTGTTGATTCTTAAAGATTACAATATATGAAATTCAAATTTTTAATATTATAATATAATTAAATATTTAAATATTACCATTTATACAATTTCATTTATTACGTTTCTTTAATTAAGATTTATTAATAACTTCCATATTTAATAGAAAATATTGTAAATGAATGAAATACCCTTATTGATTAATTTTAATTAGAAAAAAATGAAATTTTTCTATTGTTCGAAATTGGTTTACACGGTTTCTTAGAAATGCACGGTTTTCATTTGAACGTGCTCATATCATTAAAAGAAAATACTAACATTAAAATTTAAAAAACTTTTATTCACTTTACCTCAACATCCCAAATAAGGCTCAAGAAAAAGTCTAGTTTATTTGTCTAATCCTGAAATCGTGATGTTATTTGAATTTCAGTTTACTTTTATATTGTAATCTAATATGTTGTTTATAATTGGTTTGATTATGTTCGAGAAATTTGGACTTACATCTTTAAAAGAATTGTGAAAATTAATATATTGTAATTTATTTCATATCGCTTCGGGTTTCGGGTTCAGATATAACCAACAGCGAACGGGAAAACCAACCGGAAAAGGGGGATTTTTACCCTTAATAGGTTCCCTTTGGGGATCGCGGAATCCGCGGGGACCCGATGGGGATCAGGACGGTTTTAGTTATCAATTCCAGGGACGGGGATACCAATAACCAGCCCGAACCCGGCTTGTTGTCATTCCTACTTATACATGACTGTTTGATAGCGAGTTAAGAATATAAAAAGTGGCTTAATCAGTAAGCTCTTAGAGGAGACTTTTATGCAGAAAACCAAGTTTTTTGTGAACATGCTCCTCCCAATTTAAAAAAAAAAACTCATTTTGTCTCTGAAAAACCCTCCCAAACAAGAACATTTTGAATCTATACAAACAAATTAATCCACATCATTAGATTTATTTATGCATGACTTAATAAAAAACTAACCAAACAACCTCTAATATGACGAGGATGTTTCGAATGATAGCGTAAACCCTTTTATCCATAACTTATATAGAGTATCAGAAAAATATGATTTCGACATATTAAGGGGGTGTTTGGGATTGCTTATTTGAAACAACTTATGATTTTCTATAAAAGTGTTTATCAACTTATTATAAGTTAGAATGATTTAACTTCTTCAAAAACTTCTTATTACCGGTTTGGCACTGGTATAAGCTGTTTATCCAAACACTCAAAAATATTTATTACCGGTGTCACACCGGAATAAGCCAATAAATTGTTTTTTTTAACAATTTCAAACACCCTCTAAAGATAGTCTCATTTTTTTGTATGTGTGAAAATAGTGTTACCCTTCTAATAGCATTGAACATATAAAAGGGCATACAAGTAATTTTTTCCTTCTTTGCCTTTTACTTCTTTTCTATTGTTGTTAAAAAAAACCCAGGGGTGTTTGAGATTGCTTATAAAAACAACTTGTTGACTTATTCCGTTGTGGCACCGATAATAAGCATTATTGAGTGTTTGGATAAATAACTTATACCGGTGTCAAACCGGTAATAAGAAGTTTTTGAAGAAGTTAAACTACTCTAACTTATCAGAAGTTCATAAGGACTGTTGTATAAAAACATATGTTGTTTCAAATAAGCAATCCCAAATACCCCTAAAAAAGTTAAAATGATTCAGACTTGCAACTTCTTATAATGCTCAGCAAAATGCAACTGCTTTTTGTTAATTTAAAGAACACCAGTCAAAAAGTAGATGTATTTTTAAGACCCCTATTGTTTTTTAATTGCATCAAAGTGATTCTATTTAGACACCCGTATATTTGCTACTTAGGGTTGTTCAGTTGTAGCTTAATAGGTTGTATAGTCTATATAACTTATTTGCTCAACCATAAATAGTAGCTCGATTGTTGCTTATTTGGTCAGTTGATGACTTGATTGCTCAGCTGAAAACCATCACTCATTTATACTCGGCCATTTAATTTCCCATCAATTACCCAACTACCCTTCAATAAACAAACCCTATTCATAAGAGCGAATATCATGTCATAAGAAGGGATCTAGACCCTTAATCACTTTTAATCTCAAACTCACTCATTAAAAAATATATGTTCAAAATAATCAAGTTGTTTTTAGAAAAAACGTTTAAATTGATATTTTTATCCGACAAAAATATAGACTTTGGGTAAAATTGTCATTTATGACATTCAGCCTGTTTATTCAGCAAAAAGTCAAACAACTTATTTATTATCATACAAACAACTTTATCAATATAGACAGTTTGTCCATACAAGGGTCTACTCGTGTTAGAATACGAGGGCATATTTGTCTTTTCACATATTTCTTTAGATAGGAATGGTTAGGTAAATGAAAAATGAGACCTAATTGTAATGAAACCAAGTGAAATACATCTTGTATTTATACTAATCCTATATACCAAATCGCTCCTACCTAAAAAGAGAAGTGAAAGTACAAGTATACCCTTGTATTCTAATAACTTAAATCAAGCTTCTTCTACTGAATATGCATATGATCAAGTGGCCAAATATGTCATATGTATTACTACTCTTTGAAAGGAAACAGCAGAGCTTCTCAATGTCCTAACAGTATAAAAATATTCTCAAAAAGAGAGAGGAATTACAAAATAGAACATATTAATATTGACTTAATGAATGATTTCCTTATAATTTACAATCTAATTTGAGAGCTTACTCGTCACCCATGGCGAGTTCGAGTGCATAGTCATCCCTTTCCTGCACCAATTATCGATGAGAAACGTAAGATACCCATCAAATAACCAACCATGAAATTAGAACCATCGCAACAATATTTTGGTTCATAAAACCAAACTAAACAAACCCATTATATCCAGCTCGAAAGCAGGGTCTGGGAAGAGTGGGATGTATCACGTATGCAGACTGGGTAAAACAATTGCTTCCGTTAAAACTACCAGCTTGTGCAAAAGTGTGAGCGAAAAGAAAAAGGAAAGGGCAAGAATTTTCTGATATTGATTATTTAGAAACTTACAATAGGTCCTCGTGCAAAATAACGTCCAAATTGAAGCCAATATACCTGCAGAAGTCATGGATGGTATATTTGGTTAGCCAAATAAGCCGAGTTCAGTGAAGAAAAGAAGATATTGGAAGTTGTTTAATCCACCGTCGTATGTAAGATGATTCACCAGGGCCGATGATAATGATTCGGATGTGTTTATTAGATAGTTTCATCAGAAAAAAACCACATTTCAAATTATGGGCTAAAACCCTTAATGCTAAAAAGATGTTTTTGTGTTTTTTTTTTTTTTTTTAATTAACCTGGATATTCAACCCGCTATGCGAGCTGACTAATCCCAGGGCGACTACCTGCTTTGCAGATAGCCCGAAGTCACTGCATTTAAACCTTCATGGTCACAAGGGAATTTTTATTCCTCTTGGATTTGAACCTGGAATCTCCTGGTACTTTTGACCTTGGAGCCAAGCTCAAACCAATCAGGCACCACCCTTATGGTTTGTTTTTGTGGTTTTCAAGTTAAGGCAGCCATGCTTATTTCCCTTTTGATACAACCACCAGGTCTACCACCGTCAACTGCTGTACTGATGCCATCATTGAAGCACCAGCCACATTAGGATCAGGACAACCACCATGGGCATTCAACCACACGACCATCCGACATCACTACTCACTACCACCATAATAATTATCGCTATCCCTAACCACCGTTCTTACTCTATCCCAGCAAATGCTCTTCTATTCTACATACCCCCAATTATCAGAATTCAACAGTTCAATTTGATATAATCATGCCCAGTAAAATATTAGGAGGGATCCTTGGGAGGTGAGAGTGGTGGCATTAAGTAGCTGCTCTTGTTAATATTGGTTCGGTGAAAGTATAATTTACCTCATCCTCGTCTTGCGTTTCAACTTCAACATCAGAACTTGGGAAACCAACACAAAGGAGTGCAAAACCCTACAAAAAGGTGTGCAGATTTTTATGAACTTGCATTCAATGTAATTAGATTGAATCAAATGAAGGTAGAAACAGGTGATAATTTAAATTAATCATGGAAGAGAAACAACATGCCTTAGCTTTCAGTTCTGCAGATATCCCTAACGCTTCAGGCTGTCTAATTTCTCCAGATTTTATACGAACAGCACAACTAGTACAACAACCTGTCATGGAAGATATGTTTCAGCTACTTATGAACAACGGAGATGGACACACCTTGAAGTAACAAAACGCAAAGGGTGCAAAAAACAGTCTTGATGTAGATCAAATGAAGGTGAACCTTCACAATTAAACTGTCTAAAAATATAAACAGATGCATCTTTTCCTCAATGCAGTCTTATGGTCTTCCCAATAAACAATGTACAGTGAGTAATATTGCAAAAAATAAGAAATGGTATACGAAAAACACAAAACTAAGGTTGTATACTATTGACATTGACATGCCACATGGGAACAGCTTGGGAATTAGGATGGTGGTTCATGTGAGTCAAATTTGAAGGCTCATAACGAAGCTTTTACCGAGCCTCTTCAGCATCAACGAATAACAAGAAGCCAAATGATAATTTAGGCAAAATGCACCAGCCAGAAATCATGAAGCAGAACCGCAAAATTTCTTGATCTCGTTCTCCCAGCAAAGCATACATATACTGTGCATAGGCAACACCATATCATCACACAAGCAACACTTTGTCCCCCAATGATAACAGGATAGACAAGAACATTAATTTGAAGTTCATTCATATGTGATTTGAATTCTCATCCTATATTTTGACACATTGAAGCTACTCTAAAAGCACCTCATCCTTGTTCATTATCTCTCCTGCTAACTCTCCTGAGTCTGCCCTAACTACAGAAACAATGGTCGAATCATGCAATCATCAATACATTTATAGTGAATTTTATGATGCTATACATCCTATGATCCTATGGACAAATAGCATGCATACCAAAACATTACATAGCATACACAAAAATCTGCATATCCAAGTAGATTCGAATGGTATTGACATAGATGGTATAAGCTTATTAGCCTGAGGAAATTTAGCTTCGAGGAATAACATGAAATATAGAACAATACCGTGCCTGCAAGCAAATGGCAATGATATGTCCTGTGATTCAGCTGTGTGCAATATATATTGATCCTGCAAAATTAACCAATACATTATACAGCAATTAACTGAAACCATAATATTGCATAAAGTCGAGCTCCATAGATAACCAACGAATGGACGAACCCTAGATTTTGGTGTTATTCTATATGATTAAACATTATACCATTGCAAATTCAAAGCCTGATTACTTGACCATTCAAAAAACAAAATTCTATGTTCAAATTGATACATACATAACAGGAATTGCTTCTTCTAATAGTAGAAAAAAAAGTTACATATTGAATTCGATGTCCAGCCCAGTATTTTCCAATTCTAATGGATTTTTCCCCAAATTTCACACCTACAGTGTTCAACTTTTAGTATTTCGTACAAACCACGCCGCAGGTATCCATTGGTTATGAGAAAATATAACGAATTAGGAACTATATTTAAGTTGAAGATTAATAGTTTCAGTTGTAATTAGCGATTACCTCTGGAACGTAGAATTCGTGCACCACATCTCGTTGTCTATCGTGAACAGTGACCTTATGGCTTGGAGCCGATGAAGCAACGGATATGCGTGGGGGACGGGGTATTCCTGTAGTAACTTGAAACTCCGATGACGTCGTACCACGGCGACATCTCGAGGAACTCGTGTTGTAGTTAATCGCATTTCTCGACAGCGAACATTGTCGGAAAAGTGAGGGAGTCCGGTAATTTGTGGTACAGAAGATATTGCAGGGCGCTTGAAGGTCCATCGGAATCAAAAGGGCGGATTTTTGTTGGTGGAAGCTCCGGTGAGTAGTTGAGTGGTTGTCTTCTTCACTCTTATCCGATCAACTCTGCTAATTGGCCGTTATTTTGGCTTCAAGGTAAGACAAGAATTTCCATTAAAAAGTTGTTAAAAAATGGTGAAGAAATGTCTCAATTTAATTTTAAAAAAATGTAAATTTAATAAATAAAACTAATAAAATTTTAAGAGTATTTTTAATTTGAATAAAGTTAATTAAAATTATTTTTAATATTAAAATTATAAATTTTAATTCGACTTAATACACTAAGGCAGTGTGTGGTACACAGACTGAATGGAATAGGACAGGACGGGAGATGACTAATTGCCCGTCTTATGTTTGGTATGACTAGAACAGGACAGGGCAAGACTAATTGTTCGTCCTATGTTTGGTACGACTAGGACAGGACAGGACAAAACTGTTAAAATGATCATATTACCCCTAAATGTTGTTCAATGTTATTTTATATCATATAATAATTGTAATGACAACAAATCAACCAAAAACATATTTAAATTATTTAATCTATGATATCAGTACTTTTTTTAACATTCCAAAACCACATATAAAAACATTTGTCATACCACAAATTCTAAATACGCACATAATTTTAAAAGTTTAAACACAACAATTGTAAATAACATTTGTCAAAACACCGTCAAAAGTTTAACATTTCAATAACGGAGGTTGGAATCGAGAATGGAGGCTGTGGAAGAGAAGGAAAATGATGCAATTAAATTAGGTTTGTATTTTGATATCAAATAATAAGAGCAATATCGTAATTTCAAATTTAGTCTCATGTTGTTCTACCTTTTTGGGTGGAACATAAAAACTCAAGAATAGTCCTACCCAATCTTACTTTTGTCTCATGTTGTCCCACCTCATTTTTGTCCCATGGCACATCAAACATGAGACTATTTATTTTTGTCTCGTCTCGTTCCACCCAGTCTGTATACCAAACGTACCCTTAAGAGATTGTTTGGAAATAATTCAATAATTAAAATGAAGGACTCCGGTAATTTGTTATATATAAAAATAAAGTTGTTTTTTTTAAAGTATATAAATAAATTGTACAAATAATCTCACTCATCCTCCTTACCTATGATGAGGTTGGAACCTTTAACCTCCTACGATGCCAAAAATTCACAAATCGTTAAGTCGAAGACCTTTTGATTAGAAAATAAAATTGTTTATTTCCATGAATAATCCTACATAGAATTTACGGTTGTATTGTATCAGCGTTATAGATTGTTTGACTCTTTTTTCATCATAATAACATGTATAAATTAAACTACACGTGTGGATTACGTTAAAGTGTAATTTATTTGTGTTTTCGTGTCCAAATCCCACCCTCATATAATATATATATTTTTTTAATTTATTTGGTTTAATTGGTTATTTTAAACCCTGATCTGATCGACTAATTATATTATTAAAATTAAAATAATGTCCAAAAATAATTATAATTAATATTAAACATACTTTCTTTTAGAGGTTTAAACGTTTATTATATTATTAAAAAATTTAATATAATTCTGTCATTCACATTTTTTTACCAAAACATTAGGTACATTTTGTCTCACCAATAAAATTAAGACATATTTTATTTTTATTTATTTTAAATTTATTTAATTTATTTTAATTTATTTTTATTTACTTACATATATTATATCTATATTATATTATAAAGTATTTGGAAAAAACTTATAAAAATTATTTTTTATGTATGAAGTACTGTTTATTAATGCATATTACTTAAAATTCAAAACTATAAGTAAATTATGCATAAATATAACTTATTAAAACTTCATATTTGAATTCGTGTAACTAATTGCCGATAAACATAATCTTAAAGGATAAATATCTCATTTAATTATAAATTATTCAAAATATAATTAGGATAATTATTGAGTTCTAACAGAATACTTAATTATTAATTTAAAAATTATTTTATTAAATCAAAAATAAATTAATTCATTATTAAACTTWAATTAAATTATAATAAAAAATCGAATTAACTATTTTAGATAGTTAATTTAATACTAATATCATTTATTTTTATCAAAATTTTATAATATCTTCAAATTTATATTTTATTTAAAAATAAAAAATATTTTTTCTTAAAACTATATAAAATTGTATTATAACATTAATAAATTTAAAATATAAAATAAAACATTAAAATTAAAATATATATTATTATATTGTGCAAATACCGTGTATAAATGAACGATGGGAAATTGAAATAGATGATTTTCATCCCAGATCACCGTATCAACATGAAGGTTTTTGTTTATCCGTTTTAACAGGTGGCGCGCACTGAGATATCAACTGTTTGCATGTGCGACACGTAGCAGTATCATCGTAGTTAAAAAGCGCCGCCGACGATGATCTTTTTCCAGACCATCATTTCAATCATCAGATCAAAAAGGAAAGCTTATTACAGACAGACAACAGAGAAAGGATGCATTCGGTAAAAGAGAAAGTGAGCAATGCCGCCAGTGCAGCCAAAGCCCATGTCGAAACCTACAAAGCCAATCTTGAAGAAAAGGTGCTTATCCTACTCTCCTTCAATCATGCATCAATCACTTGTACTTTCTGCATCTATATTTGTACACCATTCTTTATTCACATATGAATCTTTGATGTTCATGCAGGCGGAGAAAGCAACTGCAAGAACGCATGAAGATAAAGACATAGCACACCAACGGAGGAAAGCTAAGGAAGCAGAAGCCAACATGAATCTGCATCTCGAGAAAGCTGACCATGCCGCCGAGAAGCTACACGGGAAACACCATGTGGTTGGTCATGACACGGTGGCCGGAGCTTACGGTGGACACCACCAGACACCTGTTGGTACGGCGGGCCAGACGACCACCACCACCACCACCACCGGAACTATTCCTGGAACAGCGATACCCACCACCGTCCCAGCAAACCCTCTAGGAGGACATGTCCATAAACACAACAAACATATCTAGTTTCTTTTGCGTTGCTTTTTTTGTTGTAATTTAGTCAATAATATGTTTTAAGGTATTTGCAAGAAACACGGGGGCAGAAACCTTGTAAACAATTACCAAACAGTTATATTTCATTGAGGTCTTCATTGAATATAAAGAAATCTTGAAAGACCTAATGAAGTTGGAAGTTCGAGTGATGTACAGTTCTATGTCAAAAAAGGCCATTAAGAATCGAACCACCTTGTATCAAACGAGCTGCGGTCTAGCGCCAACATTCACGAACCACTGAACCGTTCCTTCTTGTGACAAGCGTGGGCCTGTTGCTTTCACAGACTTGGCGCTTAGCTTGACTTGAAACTTGGGAGAGTGTCGGGTGATGTAAACCGTGAGATGTTTCTGGAACAATCTCTTCGAGGAACTCGTCTGCAACGTCTCCATCTTCGTCTATTTTCAGCCGTCGTGTATGCCAATTTAGGCCCTGATTACCGTTATGACAACAAAAATAGCTTGCAATATGTTCATGAGAATGGTGGTGGTACCAAAAAAGGGTTAAATTAAAGATCTCAAATTTACGATGTCAGTTAAAGTTATTTAGAGGTTAAAGCGAGATATGTATTAATGTTAGAAGGGCAAATTCCATGAAAAAATATCGTACTTTAACTTGATTTTTATTTTAATACTTAAAACTTAAAGTTGATTCTTATTTTAATACTTAAAACTTAAAGTTTTAAGGGAAAAGTTCAAAAAAACCCAATGGACTTTACTGTTTGGAACGATTAAACTCTTGGACAATTTTTTGGAACAAATAAACCCTTGGACTTTCTAAAATCTGTTAAATAACCCAATGGACTTTACTGTTTGGAACGATTAAACCCTTGGACAATTTTTTGGAACAAATAAACCCTTGGACTTTCTAAAATCTGTTAAATAACCCAATGGACTTTACTGTTTGGAACGATTAAACCCTTGGACAATTTTTTGGAACAAATAAACCCTTGGTATTTTTTGGTATATTTGGCGTAACTTTTGGTATATTTGGCGCAATTGTTGGTATTTTTGGGCGCAACTTTTGGTATATTTGGCGCAATTGTTAGTATTTTCTTTGCGCAACTTTTGTTACATACTTTGGTTCAACTTTTGTTACATACTTTGATTCAACTTTTGGTATATATTTTCGTTTAACTTTTGGTAAAATTATGTCCAAAATGTGTATGCAGATTATTATGCTTTGGTTTCATTTTTTGTATATTTTACGAATAGTAATGAGAATGGTATATTTGTTTTTTTTAAGTAAGTACTTTTTTCGTTCAAAAAATATTTATGAACTTGATCGTTCAAAATATGAAAATCCATTGTTTTTCATACCTTTTTCACTAACAAAATGTATTTAACATATTTTAGAAAATCCAAGGACTTATTTAACAGGTTTTGTAAAGTCCAAGGACTTATTTAACAGGTTTTGTAAAGTTCAAGGACTTATTTAACAGGTTTTAAAAAGTCTAAGGGTTTATTTGTTCCAAAAAATTGTCCAAGGACTTAATCGTTCCAAACAGTAAAGTCCATTGGGTTTTTTTGACAGATTTTAGAAAGTCCAAGGGTTTATTTGTTCCAAAAAATTGTCCAAGGATTTAATCGTTCCAAACAGTAAAGTCCATTGGGTTTTTTTGAACTTTTTCCAAGTTTTAAATATTTAAATGCCATGGAAACAGGGTAAACAAAGATATTCGCATGTGAATTAAGCACATACTATTAATTTATTACTACGTAAGCAATATTTCCTACTTTTCTAATGATAAAGAGGGGTCGCATAAACAGACCGGTTGATTTAGTATTTGTCTGTTAACAACTTAATAAGTTTAATAGGATTTTCAGCTTATCTGTTTGGCTTTTAGAAGGAGCTTAATGAAGAAGTCAACTTTTTTTTTAAATGTGTCTCCCCCAATTAAAAAACATATTCCTCTCATTGGATAAAAATCAGCCATCCCAAATTTCCATGTCCTGTTTATGTCCACCAATCAAATGAATACACATAAGCAGAGACAAAAAGTAAACATGAATTAAAGATGTTTAAAATAAACAAAAATCTGATGTGTCTTAATTTTATTGGTGGACAGGAATGAGACTGTGAATTTGGCACCGGTGATTTCTATCCCCTTCCATCTGTGCAAAAAAACCTTCCCAAACAAAAAATCCCAATATATATGGTAACAGATTAATCCATACAGATAGTTTTTACAGAACTTAATACAAAACCAACCAAACAACCCCTTAGAAACCTTAAATATGTTAGGAACACCGAGAAGATACAAACCACCTGTTTTGCGAGTATTATTCATCATGAATAGATAAATACTCACAAAAGGATGGTTCATGGTTCATGGTTCATGGTTCATGGTTCCTAAATATCAACTGTAATTTTGCTTTATACCATATAGAGCAAAGAATCAGTAAAGCAAGATCCAACCCTTCACTATCTACAAAATGAATTTGTGGCTCTTTAATTGACACAAAATTGTGAAAGACCAAACATTAGTCCAATCAAGCATATGTAATTGAAATGATTGGACATCTACAAGATATAATGATCTGTTAATTGGTCAGATATGGAATCGTTTTGAAGCAAGCCACATTTCTTCATGATTTTACCTTTTGATCGAAGGAATTGAATGCAAAATGAAGCATACTCTATAAGCAATAACTGTAATCTATATAACTGGATTCTGAAATAGGAATCGAGAAATTACCTGAACACCACCATCGCCGGCGGGGCACGGCACTATAACTGGACCGATTTCGTGAGGTCTATCGGCGGGAACTTGAACCGAAACGCTAATTCCTTTGCGATGGCGATTACTGTTAACATGATGAGGTGGTTCTTCTACTGAATTCGAATCATTGTGGCCATTAACATCCTTTGCATCTTCAGAAGCTCCGTTGACTTGGTGATTTCCAAATCCTAGAAATGCAAGAATCCACTTTACTACAACAGACTTCATTATATCATCCAAAATGGAGTAAAAATATGAACAAAAATTGGAGCTATAGACGCATGTAATCTGGGAGTTGTATATGCAGACTACATGGGACGGGGCGGGACAAAAAAAATAGTCACATGTTTGGCATGCCATGGACAAAAAATACATATGACAAGATGAGACTATTTTTAAATTTCATGAGAGAAAACTTAATAACTTTTGTTCCACCAAAAAAGGTGGAACAACATGGGACTAAAAATAAAATGACTATGTTACCCTTTTCTTCTAATAGAAAACTTAATTATCCAACACAATTATCGAGCCTCCTTCAACACCCGTCAGTTCTTCTTCCATGTAAGTCATCGTTTTTTTATTTTCATTTTGCTGTTCAACCTGCTACTCATGGGTTTTTTTTATTAGGATTTGGTCTTATTTAAGCTGGAGAATCTTGATACACTTGTTATAATTTTGTGGTTTTGTCACCACAATATTCCAGTCTCCTTTTTCAAAAATCACCCTGCCCAATGAGAGTAAAACTGTAAGTAACACAATGAGCAAGATATGGCTCTTGTTCACGGAGCTTTGGTTGTGAGTTCTCAGTCTTTTGATTGTAAAGTCGAATTCTTGTGCAGAGGTAGCCGAGGTGATCCATGAAAACTATGTAATTAAAATATATTTTGGTTGATTTGTTGTCATTTTACAATCATTATATGATATAAAATAACATTGAACAATATTTAGGGGTAATATGGTCATTTTAACAGTTTTGTCATGTTTTGTCCTAGTCGTACCAAACATAGGACAGACAATTAATCTTGTCCTGTCCCGTCCTGTCCCATCATGTCCCGTCCAGTCCAGTCTGCGTACCAAACGCTACCAGGTGGATGAAGAATCTGTAAAGTTTGGGGCTGCAATTCGGGGGGGAGGAGAAGCGACTGTTGCAGTTAAAATGGTAGTCGGTGAAAAAATGGGAATATGTTGCGATTTGATGTATACAAATCAACCTGATATCTAATCGAGTTGTAAAAATTTTAAATCGTAGGTATTGGATTGATATTGGGTTACTATTATCTGAACTCAACTTAACTCGATGAACCCGATGTTTTTTTATTTCTTGGATTTAATATGATTGTTGAGTTTATATTAATATATACAGTAGACAATTACACTATTATGAACGCTCTTCATATATATATTTTCAATTTATTCTTCATTTCTTTCTATATAACTCATTCATAAATATGTTCGGTAATTGTGAATATATATATATATATATATATGTAAATTGAGAAAATTAACTGAATGTGATATACGTAAGAAGTATGAATAAATTGTTAATTATATCAAATGGTTGATAATAAAAAAAACTATGAAGAGAAATAACATATTCAAGGTATTTTAATGCATCAAAGTATCAACCCGACCAACCCGTACAAGTTTGGGTTGAGTTGGATTGGGTTAAGATTTTTCAAACCACAAGCATTAGGTTGGGTTATTCAAATGTCTTCAACCCGATCAACTCAACTCATGGACACCCTAAGTCTCGTGTATATTAAATGTGTGTGTATATATATATATATATTATTATATTATTATATTGTAGAGTTATGATAAGAAACTAAAGAATAGATCTCTACCATTAGATTAATCCTACTTGTAGATCAACACTAATATAGTATGTCGAAATGCATCAGATTAATTCTCATGATAAACGTAATTCATGGATAGATGATATTAAATTGATTAAGGGTTTAGATCCATTCATATATTTCTCATTTTAACTTTTATTCTCATAAAATCTTTCGTATGTATTGGATGTAAAACTCAATAAAATATAATATAAAAAAAAACTAACAAATTGTCAATTTACACCAAATTCAAAGTAAAAATCAATGTTTTTGTATAGTAATTTAAAGAGAATAAGGTTTTTATAATAATTTTCTTACAAAAATTGTATATAACAATAAATTACACTTTAGCCCTTCAACTTTATCTAATCAAGCTCTGCTACCTCCTAAATTCTCAACATAAGCAACAGAGTCCTCCTAGTTTTCCACTTCTACAAATTCAACCCTTATCTACATCAAACCTGCAATATCAAACTTAAACCCGTAAATGTTAAGATTGTACGACATGTATATTTTAACAAAAATATCACAGAACGATAAAAAAAACAAGAGTTAAACAAGAAACGAGACAAGGAGTTGTGTTCTTGTAAAATGAGTTCGTTTCTTTTTAAGGGGTTATGACTCGACAAATACTTAATGTATTAAGATGTTCTTACAAAAGTTAGTTGACGTATTATTTACGTTTTTATAGTCGGTGACTTTGACGAATAATAAAACGTAAACAAAAATATGTTTTTATTTAGACACCTTGCTGTAAAAAATATAAAAAGATAAATTTATGCAGATTGAAATTTTATATTGTATAACACAGACTGATTATTTTAAAAAAGATAAATTAAAATAAATTAATTAAAGTTAAAAGTATTTCTTAAATAAACTATTAGAAAATTCAATTTTTTATATAGCATTGAATAGAATATAATAATAAATAATGAAATATTAAAATTTAAAAATAGGGAAAAACGAGCAAATAACAATATCACATGTGTCTTGAGTTCGATTCCAGACGTCTAAAACAATTAATTGTAACTACAAGGGTGATGCCTAATTGGTTTGAGTTTGGCTCTAAAGGTTAAAAGTACCAGGAGGTTCCAGGTTCAAATCCGAGGAGAAATAAAAATCCTCTTGTGGCCACGGAGGTTCAAATGCGGTGACTATGGGCTATCTGCAAAGCAGGTGGTCGCCCTAGGATTAGTCGGCTCGCATAGCGGGTTGGATATCCAGGTTAATAAAAAAAAACAATTAATTGTAACCATTAGATTTATCAGAGTTGACATCTTACAGCCATAATTTACAAGGATTAGTTTATACATGATCTAGGACACCCTCTCGAAAAACAATTGGTTAGACGTGGCCTTATGGTCACATACCGCCAGTTATTTCGGGGACCAGTAATGATAAAAACCGATACTTTTTGGAACTTAATTTGTACATTTTATCACTATGTACAAATTTCATATGAGATATATCGAGTTTGTTTGCTTTGATTTATGGGTCATTTACTAAATGTTTGTCTGGTAAATGTATATCGTTACCAGATGAACATGGAAGGGGGAGAGTCTTACCTGGTAAGAGCAATGATAGGGATGGATAGTTTTACCCGGTAAGCCAGGGTGTCAACTCTTACCGCGTAAGCGCTTACCAGGTAAAATTATTGCACGCGATACCATTTTAATGGACTACAATCTTACTGGATAAAGTAAACTTGAGTGTTGACTCTTATCGATAAGTATTTACCGTGTAAGCGTTTGGGTAAACAACTCCTTTGTTTTAGAGTCCAAGAGTGGAACTGCAAACCCAATTATTATGCACAAAATAAGTATGTCGAATTTGTGATTGTTATAAAATTCGAACAGTTTTTCTTAGACTTTTCCCTGTTATATAATATGTTATACATATATTATATATTATGTATGGGGGTAGTTTTGTCTTTTTCAAGAAAATTAGATATGAAATTCAATTCCATTACATATGTAAACCGAACAGTAAAATGGAAATTGATCAATTCCATTCCAATTCTTAACGGAATCTTGTTGATCAGATACCTCACAAGTGTCATGATACTCGATTCCGTGAACATTGTTTCTAACAAAATCTTTAAATTTATTAAATAATTGTCGTCGTATATAAATAAGAATATTATTTACAGTTATAAATTAGTTTATTTTTTGAATTTATTTAAATAATACAATGATTTAGTTAGCATATAAATTAGTTTTTTTATATGCTCCGGAGGTTTATTTTTTCCAACTTTTTCAAACTGTGTGGGTTAGGTTTGGTTGGTCGGGTTTTGGTACATCATTTTACAATCTAGCTAAGTGTTTGTGTTTAAACGAAGTAAAAGCAAAATGATAACATATAAAAAAGACTAACAAACTCAAAAAAAAAAGTTGAAGGTTCATGCAAATAAGAAAGTAAAATTACGGTTTAAATTGTAGACGTAGGATCATGTGAGAATGAGAGTTAATATGAGAAGTGTAAGAAGGGATTTGAACCCTTGATCACATTTAATCTCATACCCAACCATGAATCACGTGAGAATTGATCTGGTGCATCTCATCATAATGTGCATCCAAGGGTGAAGATCATTTTTTATGTTTCTCGTCTTAATTCCCATTCTCACTAGAACCCAACCCTTAAATTGTAATATAATTTTAAATATAACTATTTATAAATTGGTATAATATCTAATGTACATATGTCAATCAAAAAGGCTTAAGAATCAAATTAAATCCATAGCATAGAAAGACATTGTGTTCATCAGGTTGGGTTCAAATAAACCTAACTCAATTCCACCCCAATAGATGCAGGTTGACCTAATTTTGTATCAACTATGTGTCAGGTTACTTCAGTTGAAATTTGTTGGATTTTTTTTTCGGGTTGGATTGGTCAGGTTGATCGGTATTTTGAGCATCCCTACTACTATCTACAAGGCAAAGAAAGGAAGGAGGTCATAACCGAAATCCAACAAAAACCGACGACGGACACCCAATAAGACGAAAACGACAAAAAAAAAAACACTTTTAAAAGGAAATATTTACTTTTCTGTTATACCCTTAAAACATCTCCAATGGAAGTTCTTTTAAAAGCCCCCTTTTTGTAAGTTTCATGTATTTTTTTCAACACATTTAATAACTATATTTTTATTATAAGACGAAAAGGGTAAAATTGCATTCAAGTTAACTAAAAAGTGTAACAATTACGGATTATTAAAATTGTGTATCTTTTTCGTTGGGTATATTTATTTTAAGACGGAGATGGTAAACTAAAATTGTGATTAAAAATATTTAATGTTGACCAATTTTTTTAAAATTTAAAACGTTAATTAAATGATTTTTTTATCTGTTTGTATTTTAGCGGTAAATTGTGATTAAAAATATTTATGTATCTAGT